TTATATTTATCTTATCCCAAAATTTTTTAATAATATTTGAAAATTTTCTGCCGATTATAAAAGGATCGGCAATTAAAGACTTTATTGATAGTGATACCTTAATGATAGAGGACTTCATATCCAGTTACTAATGTACAAATCTAATTATTAGTAGCAAAACAATTTGTTTAGATAAAGATGACTGAAGATGTTTCATTCCAGATGTTTCAGATAAGTATATAGAAAATGGAAAGGGCTTGGATCTAAGATTACTTGTCAAAACCTCTTAGTGACTGTCAAAACACTGTCAAAACTCTAATGAACAATTAGTATATACCTTGTCAAAACTCTGATGATTGACAAAACCCACAAATGTGAAACTCTGCCAAAACTCTAATAAACAATTATTGGGTAACCTGTCAAAACTCTGTCAATTGATTTCTGGAGGAGTTTCGCCCACAACCTTACTTGGATCATTACTATGCTACACTAGGTGATGCCATAAAAAATCCAGAAGTTGGAAAGGCTTTTTACTCTTACATGTTAGAGTATGTCAAACTTAATCTGGATTTTGATGAACAAGTAATTCCTATGACCAAAACCAAGTTAATGATGACAAATAGAGGTATTAATCTAATTCATGCATTTATAAAGGAGGAGTATATTCAGAAATCTCAAGGTATTGATGTATCATCCTTGTATCTTTATAATACATGTAAGAATTGGATCCTTGATCCATCTAATCCTCAAAAGGAAAAGCTCCCTATCATACAAGAATTTACCTGTGCATTGGGAGATCTTGGATTAAAGCCTAAATCAAAAAGAGCAGGAGACCAAAAAAGTAATAAAAAAGTTTAGTGGTATGAAGTTTCGTATGCAAATTTATATGCTTTGTTCCAGAAAAGAAATATGATTGATGATGCTGAGAATCTTGATGAGCCAGAAGGTTATCAGACTGAAAATAATACAAGTATTCTCCCAACTGAAATTCTTCCAACTGAAGAGCCTCCTACTGAAAAAATTCCAATTCTAGAAGAAGTAGACTGTCAAGTTTCCAACTCATCTATCAAAATTGAGTCTCCTGTCTGAGGTTGTGGCAAAACTCCTCCAGAAATCAATTGACAAAATTTTGACAGGTTACCCAATAATTGTTTATTAGAGTTTTGGCAGAGTTTCACATTTGGAGATTTTCTCAATCGTCAGAGTTTTGACAAAGTATATACTAATTGTTCATTAGAGTTTTGACAGAGTTTTGACAGTCACCAAGAGGTTTTGGCAAGCAACCTTAGTTATCACCAACAATAACACTGTTCAAATTAAAAAAATTAATTTAATTTAATTTTACACAACATCAATAAAACTTGTCATGAATTCATCATTATTCTTTTCTTTACTAACAATCATTTTTTAAATAATTAGTTTGTTTTCTTTCAATTAAAGAAAGTTTACTTTTTTTTTAGGTGAAGAGGTAAACAAAAAATTATTGTTTTCCCTTTTTGATTAATCTGTGTATATTTCGTCGTGTGACTAGAACTATATATCCCAAATTTGATTGGATAATAATGTTACACGTGCTATAATGATAATTCTAATGTTTATTCTTTTTAAAAATAATTTCAAAAAATGGATAATAAAACATTATTAGGAGAATATCTAAAAAATTTTGAAAAATTATTAGAATCAGGTGATAACTATGATGTTAAAATCAATATTAAACATAAAGAAAAATCTGTAGAATTTCATGCACACTCAGTAATCTTATGTGCTCAGTCTCCATTTTTTAAAAAGGCTCTATTGAATACAAACCGAGATGATGATGACTATTATGTTATTAATAAATCCGATATTAGTGAATTTATTTTTAAAACCATTCTCAAGTGAGTTTATTTAATAAATTATTATTAATATATTAATATATAATATTAATATTATTAATTTATTCTTTTAAAAGATTTATATACACATTTAATATAGAATTAAGAGATTATAGTGGTACTGGCATGTTAAACTTATTAATAGCAGCAGATGAATTTGGCATTGAGTCACTTATCAATTATACAATGGAATATTTTATTGAAAATCATAAAAAATACATAAATGATAACACAATTAAAGTTCTACAATTAATCTACTTTAATAAAGAAAAGCTCACAAATTTAAAAAATATTTGTTTGGAAGAAATTTGCTTTGATGGAAAAAAATTATTCAAGTCAAATGAGTTCATATCATTGAAAGAATCGATTTTATTAGAAATTCTTAAAAGAAATGACTTCTGTGTAGATGAAATAGATGTTTGGGAAGGAATTCTTAAATGGGGACTAGCAAAGCATCCAAAAATCAGCAATAATAAAAACGTTGAAAATTGGACAAAACAAAATTTTACTGATCTAGGGAAAACATTAAAAGATTTAATTTTATTAATCAGATTCAATGGTATCTCAAATAAGGATTTTCGTTATAAAGTTATGCCATATTGGAAAATTTTTCCCAAGGTTTTATGGAAAAATCTTTTAAGTTTTTATGTTTTTCCAGATGATCAATCAGCTTTAGATTTATTACAACCACCAAGAATTCCAAAGTTTGACTCGCAAATTGTCAATCAAAAGCTTACTTTGCTTTTTGCAAGTTGGATTGATAAAAAACTTCCACCATATACTTCATTCAATGATGTCAAATACAAATTTAAACTTTTATATTGCAGTAGCAGAGATGGGTTAAATGCAGATTTATTTCATCAAAAATGTGATAATATTAACAAGACTCTTGTTGTTGCCAAACTGCAAAATTCAGGACAAATATTTGGATGCTACAATCCACTTAATTGGAATGGAAATGAATATAAACATACAACCGAAAGCTTTATTTTTAATACAAGTAATAAAGGTGATGCACAATTTAGTCATAGTATTGATTATGCTTGTCCAATTGGTTGTTTTCCAACTTATCTTCCTGTGTTTGGTGGTAGTCATGATATTTATTCTAACAATGGTGATGTATTATGTAATAGTAAGTTTGGCGAATTGGAAGTTTTTCAAATAATAATAAAATAAAATATAGTAAAAAAAAACTGATATAGAAATAAATTCCGAGTGAACATTGCTTCATGTAAAAAGTTTCAGGATAAAATTTTAGTAATTAGTTATCAGTTATACAAGCTCCTCCAGTTATTCCTTAATAAGACTCATTCATATTAATGATTTTTTATTATTATTTTTTATTTTATTGTTTATTTAATAAATATTTTTATTGTTATATTTCCCTTCACAAAATATAAATAAATTAAAAATTAACCTTTTTGGGTAATTTCTCAAGCTCCTTGTGAGAGCTAGATAACTTATCCAGTTTTGTGAGCTTAATAAGCTACTTGGTTTAGTGATTTCTACAAACTCAAGACTATCCATTCTGAAATAAATCCTAAATCATTCCCTGTCCCGACAACACACACATCATCCTTTATTATGTAACAGAATAATGGTAAATAATTAATTAATTATAATAGTAGTAATAATACCTTCTTGTTGGTCTTGAAGAAGGTAGCAAGCATTCCGCAAATTGTGACATCAACTAATTCCTCGAATTCGAATTATGCGTCCAATAACAGATTTGTGTAATACCTGCCAGCATTTCAGAAATGGCCCGTATTATGAAATCCGCAAAGAGGAAGAGGCAAAAGACTTATTAAAAAGATACAAAGAACATCTGTCAAAAGCAAAATTGGAGAGAAATTATTATAACAAAGAATATCAAGTTGGCAAAAGAACAAAGAAAAGTTGTTATTCAATGACTAAAAGGTAGAACACGGTGTAAGTAAAATCCTCGGTGTTTATTTTTAGTATAATTTGTAATTATTATTATGACACAAAATTTCGTTTTTGTCGAATATCAGATATGACATCATTTGTCAAAAAACCAGCACAAATGCAAGTTTTTATTGATTAGTGTTAGTATTAGTATTTGATATTATTGATATTATAATAATAATGATGATGGAAATTATCACCGGAAAAAAAAATTTTTTCCACACATTAATATTGGAATAAAACTAATTTTATACTCACTTGGAATTATTAATTTCTTTGGTTACGCGAATCCATAATTATAATATTAAAATTACTATATTTATTACTTTATTTATATTTACCTATTATTGCTGCATAACTTTCTTTGTAATTAATAACTAATTATCCTGAACGTCCTAAAGGAACCTTGAAAATATTTCCGACTTTTAAAATTTGGTGAAACATCAAAAGGTACTTAAACACATTTTAGTTAGAACTTCATATAACTTTCTTTTGAATAATAACAATTGAATTGAACTGTTGATTTCAGGACTCGTTATAATTTCAGCTGAAATAAACCTTTGTAAGGACACGATTGACAATTTATTATTCTTATGATATTTCTTTTGCTTTTTAATGACTTTTTCTTTGTAGATCTTAAATATTCTTTAATAGTTTAAAAAACATAATGGGCAATTTTTTCAAAATACTTCAAACAGTGCTGCGAAACAAAATTAATTTCTTACTATTACTATTACTATTATTATTACTATGCAATCGTTTCAAGTCGGTTTCGTGAAATTCAAATTAGCCAATTAGAATTTGCATCCAGACACTTATCCCAAAAATTTTTTTTTCTTTCTAGTATTCACTATCCTAATAGTAGCGAGCGGTATTGTTTTCATTTAAACCATTATGCTGAGAACATAAAATGTATATTCAAACTCATTGCTTACACCACCCTGTTTTAATCCTTTTTTTTTTCAGGGTTTTCCTTTTTTACATTGTTTCTAAAGCCTCTTGAAAGACATTTTCAGCAGTAATGCCAGACTGGCCTGGAGATAAATGGTCCAGCCTTCTTTGACTTGGAGACATGGTAAGCAGAGTTTTGATTTGTTTTTTGATATTGTTAGTCGTGACTAATTGGCTTTCCTTTTATTTAGATAGCAAAGCAAAAAAAATAAACCGGAAACAGCCAAACCACTACCAAAAAAATTAAATAAAGATGGTATTGTTTCAAATGCTTGCTCCACGCAAAAAATCAGCATGATTGTCTCCAAGGTTGTTTTTTTTTTTACAGTAATAAGTCTTGGGGTGACATAATGTTCACTTTGTTACAGTGGGTGCCCCAGTTGTAATACTTGATTTGCATTTTTTCCAACATGACCCATCCTCTCTTTATCTTTCTTTCATCGTAGACCTTAATTCGTGCTTACTCCAAAGTACCTTGAACACAATTTGCAAAATCGTTTTTGGTCGTACGTATATTAACATCTTTTATTAACTATTAATTATCAACCATCAACTATCAATTATTAATTGCTATATAGTTTATATTTATTTTCCCGTAAAATCAATAAAATAATGAAAAAAAACTTTTTTTAATTTCTTTAATATTAACATAATATATTAAATCTTAATATAAATAAAACATCCAAATGTGAATTAGTATTAGTCATTGTATTCCCTAATGAGTAAATGACGGCTATATTTATGGAAATTTTAAAATAATATATTAATATATCCTTAAAGTATTCATATTTTTGTTCTCACTAAGCTACCCTATCTCTTTGGATTGTTGAATGACTGAGTGAATAAAGAAGTATGATGAATAACGAAATAAACAACTTTAATTGTTTAGAAAATTACAACGATACGTTTTTCTTTTTTTAATTGTAAAACTTTAATCTTTAGGATCAATTGCATCGAAATACGCAGAAAATTTATTTATAGCTTCCTTCATATTTTCTAAATTTAGTCCTTCCTTGTATATATATTTCCAAAAACAATTATTACACGGATATCCGCAATAAAAAAGCGTGGGTAATAGTAATCACAATTTATTTTATTTCGTGGGTTTCCGTAGTTCCTTATCTTTGATCATTCTTTATTATCTAGTTCATTATCTAACACATGTGTGTGTATTTGGAATAATCGGAAGGGTTTAAAAAGAATTTGTTATTTACTATACTTCATACTCAATTTGGGTTGAATGATTGTAAATATATGAAAAAATAAGTAATTGTACACGTTCGGGAATTTATAAATAATTACATTTTTTTCTTTTTGTTTTTTTTTCGTTGCAAAAAATTAATTTTTGAAATTTTACATGCATTTTAATTAATCAAAATGTCTAGTGAATTTATGTTTATTCTTGAAAATGATCCAACAAGTAACAAAGAAGAAATTATAAAAAACCACAATAAAAAATATAAAACAAAAGAAGTGCCTAGAGAGCTACTGGAACTTCATAATTATGTTTTACCGTGTCCCCTGCCATCATTTTTCAATATTAATGCCAGAAGTTTAGTAAAATATTTTTACAATATTGATGATCATGTCGATAAAAAGGAAATAAAAAAGAAAAAACAAAATAAAGTCACCAATAAATTCAATCCAATCAAAACAAAACCACCTAACCCTTTTTTTATTTATCGTAAAGCTTGGAATTTACAAATCAAAGAAATCAGAGCTATCACCGGAAATGTTTATAAAATGACAGAAGTTTCAAACTTCGTCGGGAAAAAATGGCGTAATGAATCCGAAAGTCAAAAAAAATACTATAGAGAAATGGCCATAGAAACGAAGGCTTTATATGATAAGGAGTATGCAGAATTTATTTCAACCCCCGGTAACGATCATGTGAATCTCGTTGCTAACAAAACCAGGAAACGTAGAAAATTATCAAAAATAACTCCTTCAACCTCTCCACCATCAAAACAAATAACTCCGTCACAAACTTCACCTTCGGTTGGCTTACCTTATACGGCTAATAATCCACCTTCACATACATATTTAAATGTTAATAGAGAATCAATAGATGGAAATGACACTAATAATCCTTATGGTTTTGATTATAGCCTTATTGATTATAATAATGATGGTCCTATTATCTGTAGTTATACCAATATGCTCCAAATGGACTATGGGGGAAACGACGAATACCTTTCTTATAAATATTAATTTCAAATTGAATTTCTTTTTTCTTAGATTTTATTTACTATTCTTTTCAGTCAGAATTTATAAATTTTTATTTTTTTTTGTAATTTTACTTATATACATAATTTCTTTCGGTTTTGTGATTTTTAAATTCTTGTATTTTTCTTGTATTTTTATATTTCTGTAATTTTTTATTGTATATACGATTAAAGTTTGTTAGAGTGAGCACTCGATTCCATCATATTTAATTTTTCCCTATTTCTATTGTAATGAAGAGTTCACTTTTATTAAAAAATTAATTAGATCATCCGACTGATCTCCAATCTGGTTTTACAAAGTCAGTGAGCATTACATTCGATTTTGCTGAACTTCTTAAAGCAATCAAGATAGAAAATCTAGTTGATATAACTTGTAGAGTTTATGCCCCAACTCTCAAAGTAAAGAAGCTAACTGATGTTGAATAGACTACTATTTTTTTTTTCTTGAGCCAATGCAATAATCAATGGCTTTCCAAAAGTTCGGGATCGCTCAATAAACTCAATCAAAGCAATGCCTTCTGCCATGTGTCCAGGTCTTCTATCTCGTTTGATTGATCCGTGAATTGTGACAGAATAGCTTACAACATTTAGATTTCTTCTTGGGCTACTTGCTCATCATAATGGTTTCTGATGATGTAACTAAGAAATTAAATAAAGGTGAAAAGCATCTAAAGATTACTTGTGATAATGCCGACGAGAAAAATAGAAACAATATTGAACTAAAATTCATGATTCCAAATTCAAATGTGATGGTAGCTTTGGATTAATCAAAAACTCTAAGCATAGGTTGCGTGGACCGTGCTATGGAAATTGCAAAAGGATATATGGTGTTTCCGCAGAAAAGACTTTTGGATATTTTGACATCAAATTTGGTTTGAAGCATGTTAGATGATGATGGTATTCAACAATTTCAATATTGTTTTTTGAAGTTTCTATTCCTGCATGGTCCTGTAAAAGTTCAAGAGATTTTTTGTGACTTTAAGCTATTGAAGACTAGCACAAAAAGAAATCATAACGTTATAAAAGATAATTATTTCCAATATTGTCATCTACTTTTATAGATCTCAAATGTCAAGAATATCTTTACAATAGTAAAGATGGCTCTACAATTGATAGGTTGCAACATCACATAAATTTGTTGACGGTTGCTACAGTGCAAGTGAACTTTCTGCCCCACGCGTAAAGTTGGTGTTTGCAACTAAGAAGTTGCAACCGGTTGTAGAATTTAGAAAATAAGAGCTTTAATATGAGTGTCTGCAACTAGTTGCAACGAGTTTCAGAATTTCAAATCAGTTGCAGACACCAACTTTAACCGCGTGGTCAATTTTAAAAAAAATTCAAATCTCTGACAATATCTATGAGAATCACATGATTCACCAACGAATTCTTTATTTATTTTTGAACTTGAAATATAATTGTCGATGAGAGAATGATAATGATGATAGATAATCTTTGAAATTAAAAAGGTTATAGCTTCCAAAGGCGTTAAAACTTGATAAGAGTTTAAAAAAATAAATTTTAAACTTTTATTTATTTATTTTTGTAGAAAAACAAATACTACAATATTACAATATTACAATACTATGTTAAATATCAAAATAATAATAGTAATAGTATTTATTTATTTATGTGGAAAAACAAATACTACAATATTACAATATTACAATACTATGTTAAATATCAAAATAATAATAGTAATAGTATTTATTTATTTATGTGGAAAAACAAATACTACAATATTACAATATTACAATACTATGTTACATATCAAAATAATAATAGTAATAGTATAAATTATAGTTGTGATGCATATAATATATTATTTATTTGGGAAGAGAAAATTTTATTCTAATTTACTAGATACTTGACTTAAACAATTAAATACTTCTTTTGTACCCTCTAAAAATGTAGTTCTATGGTATGGTATGGAATATTTTTCACAAAGGTTTCGAATTATTGGTTGAACTTTATGAAAATGATGACGCGGTATTCTGGGGAAAAGCTACATGGATAAAATAAAAAATCGATTATTTTTTTAATTGATTGATTGATTATTTTACCGTTTAAATATGAATAAGTATACTCACATGATGTTCAATTTGATAATTTAAACCACCACAAAACCAATCTACACACCATTGAAATTTAGGATTTCTGGCAACAATATCTCTTCCGGTGACAATTTGCTCAACAAAAAAATCCATATCCTGAGCTTCTTCTTCACTAATTATTTTCATTCCAAAATGATTTAAAGCAAACACCAGAGCTAGTAATAGTCCACATGTTGCTTGAGAAGTAATAAAATATGCAACTTTTAACCAAAAATCGTCAATTATGCTTATAAACAATGAATACCAAACATAATGTATGACAAGTGAAATTTGTTGGCTTTTGCTAATTGGCATACGAGCTTTTGTTTGCTTGTTGAATTGACCGCCAGGGAGCACAAACAAGATACTCTGAAAACACCAAGAGATTCTTGCAAATGTCAATATTGGAAAGTAAAATAATGTTTGATATTTGACCATTATACGGATAATGCTCGGTGGAAGCGTTTGTTCATTTTCTTTTTGCCATTCTGGGTCAAACAGATCAAAAAGTGCATATTCAGACCATGTAAGAATAGGATGTGTGTTGATATCAGGGTCTTGACTATGAACATTTGGTGCGGCATGATGAGTGTTATGTTTATCCTTCCACCTAACAAAATAAATAAATAATTAATTAATTAAAAATATGATTAAAAAAAAAAATCACAATTTTTTAAAATGGGGTTTTTACCAACTAGGAGAAAATCCTTGACAAACACCACCAAGAAAATCGCCCATCAAATTATTATATCTTCTATCCTCAAATACTTGATGATGCAAAAAATCATGTGAAAGCCATCCACATTGTTGCCAGAAAATACCCAACATTGAAGCACTTATTACAACACCCAGTAATTTATCACTGAATTTAATCAGTATCAACAATGATGTAAATAAAATTAAAAGGTTTGAAAGAACCTTTAAAGCATAATAGGTTTTTGACGATTCAAAATATTTCTTATTAATAAACATTTCCTTAATTTCTCTTAGTTCTTGTGTAAACCCTATAATAATTATAGTTATTACAATCGTTAATATAATCAATCATCTATTATATATTATTACATATATATAGACCAATTTTTCTCTCTTTCTCCTTCTACCTTCTTTTTTAGTGATGACATCTTCCTTTGCCAAATCGCCAATATAAAAATTTGCCAATAATTCATGTGTGGTTTTTTGATGAAAATTATGAAACGCATCTAATAACATATTTTAAAGAGTAAGTTTTTCAATATACATCAAGTCACATGAATATGCATGATACACGATTTTTTTTTACCAGTTGCATCTTTTCCAATATGGGTCAAAATCACAGCGCCGCCAGGATGATCAGCAATAAAATCCTTAACATCATACACTTTATTATCTATTATCAAATACCAAGGATTCTCTTGTTCATTATTAATCTTATTTTTATATATGTTGTAATGTTTCGTAACATCTTCCCGGCGAAAGACGTTAACTAAAAAAACATTTAAAATATTTATTCATTTATTTACGATTTATTAATGGTTTTTTTAATAATATGTATAAAAATGATATATTTTATTATATATTAATAATTAACGAAACAAAACCTTCTTGAACATTTTCATCTATAACATTAGGTGGCATTGCAAAATTCTTTGAATCTTAAATCTTACAAATTATATATTGTTTATTTATTTATTTTATAGAGCAAATAACAGATAATGATTATCATTTTTTTGACATAACTTGTATATTTATATACAAAAAATCCTTGACAATCTAAATATAAAAAAAAACAATTAAAATTTTTTTAATAAATTGTGTACCGGAAATGGTGATACTTTCAATCAAACTACACATGTAAACAAAAATTGGGGATGAAAATTTTTTTTTCAAATGTCGAAATATGAATTTGGTAAAGAATTACATTTATGGGGCGTTGGGGCATTCGATATTGGTTGGTCAACAAATCTAATTACAGTCAAAGCTCGTTATAATGGACACTTGGTGGAAATACGTTATAGTGGACAAAATGCCTGGAACTATAAAGAAAAACACAAATAAATTCATCTACATGTACAACATATATATACGTAGTAAATAAAACCTGTCTAACATAAGTTGTTTTGCATTATCCTGAACACGTTATGAATTTTTGATTTTAAACTATTAATCGTTTTTTATTCTTGATAGCTAATTGTAAAATTATCTGATGGATTTTTTAAATATTGAATCACTTTTTCTAAACGATACTATTTAATGCCTCTTTATCAGAAATAACCATCATTTCCACTTTTTCCTCTTTATCAGAATCATCAACCTCAGGATTTGGTTCCTAATAATTTCTTCATCAGTAAAAAAAAAAAGAGGATAACGTATAAACATTAATTTATTGTTAATCTAGAAATACTTTATTGTCGTCATCAAAAAAGGATAATGCACAATTAATTTTGCTAACACATTGCTATTTTAGAAACCACATTACCATTAACCATTAATGTAAAAGATTGCCATAAAACCACATGATTTCCACTATAACGAACATAATTCAATAAAGTATGTTCTATATCAAATTTTTTATACACAATAGAGAGATTTTATTAAGAAGTCCACTATAACTAAAGGTGGGAACCGCAATTAGCCGCGATTCAATTTTCATATGCTGTAACAGCAACCGCAATTCAATTTTTATATATGCCGCAATTAGTTTCAATTAATTGAGGAGCCGTCTTTAACTATAACGAACAAATTTTATTATTATAAAGAGAATTGGGGAAATAAACAAAGTCCACTATAGGCAAAATCCACTATAACGAGATCCACTATAACGAGCTTTGACTGTAATGTCAATGAGATAAACTTATATATGCGGATTTTTTCATGGAATTTATAGTACTTTAAACTATTATTTCTCCTCCAAAATTCGCCCGTTTGCAAAAAAATTAAATTGTTTCGATTGAAAATTATATGTAGAATATTGTAATAGAACAAAAATATTGCAATAAAGGAAAATTTTGAACGAATATTTTACAAATATTGAACTTTTTAAAATGTGAATAACTCCCTGAATTTTAAAATACTATCTATTTACACACATTTGACATCTATATTGTTGAAAATGGGGAAGGAATAACAATTTGAAAACTGCACATTTTATTATGTTTTCTTGCAAATTTCGGAAAACTTTAAACTGTTATTTCTCCCATAAAATCTGTCCATTTGCAAAAAAATTAGATTATTTCGATTGAAAAACATCTGTAGAATATTGATACAGAGAGAATATGTTAATTTTACATTTTTTTGAAAGTTGTAATAGAGCAAAAAGTATTGCAATAAAGGAATTAATATTTCACAATATTGAACTTTTTAAAATGCAAATAACTCTGAGTTTTTAAATACTATTTATTTACTATCTTTTTACACATATCTGGTACATATATTGTTGAAAATGGGGAAGAAATAACAATTTTGAAAATTGCATATTTTATTATGTTTTCTTGCAATTTCGGAAATTCTACAAGTAGTATGCAGATCATTACATATGGGGGCGCTCTAGGAAAAAATGGGTTTCGAGTATATAAAAAAAAATTGTTTTGTGCAAACGATTGACACAGAAAATATACCTGAAAATTGTTTTTACGATTTCCATGTAATATTGATTATAAAGCATTTACTCATTCACCTTTAAAATTTAAATTTTATAGGAAGGTTAATAATTATAATAAAAATTATGAATTAGTAACTCTATGGGGTCTCGTGACTAATATGAAAATATGAATTTGTAGATCATTACTTTTTTAAAATTTTGTTTTTTAAATTCGATTCAAAGAAAATTTTGGTTGACCCAAGAATTTATTTTTGTATTAAGTAAAACAGCATCTAACTTTTCACCAATTATAATCATGATGTAATAGTTTAATATTATGTAAAAAAAAATTTTTTTGATCAAAAGTCTCGAAACCCGGTTTTCCTAGAGCGTCCCTCAACCAATCAATATATGATATTAAATTAGATTTGATTTTCTTAGAATGTCGCACACCCCATGGTCCCCAGATAATTATATAATCTGGTATGAATGAAATGGAGTAAATTTTGAATTTTTTTTTTCTAGGTAAAAAACGGGTTTTTTAAAAAAATGTAGGGGTAAAATGAGGTAAACGAAAAAATAGTGGTAGGATTTTTAATGTGGTATATGGTAAATCATCATGTTATCATTATTATTATATATGGTAAATCATTCTACTTTATTTGCAATGCATAAAAAATTCAATTGTTTACACATTAATAAAGTGAAGGGGGAAAAAAATATTTAAAAATTTGATTACCATGGATTCTTTATCTTTGAATGTAATTTGTGCTTTATACCAAGTTCTTTGTGCTCTCATTTTAATATTTGTAATTTCTCCATAAGAAGATAGAATATTCATTAAAACTTCTTTTTTTTGCAGTTAAGGGTAAATCTCTTATGCTAATAGTACTTTGTCGATAATCTTGATATTTCTTTATGTGTTTGAAATTTAAAGTCACTATTTCCTGCAAAAGGTAGTTCACATGCCTTATCTGCATGTTCTTTGGTTCCAAAGGTTGCTACAATGGATCTGATTCATTTCGTCGACAATCATTTCGTCGGCAGTCATTTCGTCGACACCCTTTTCGTCGAATGTTCATTTCGTCGAAAATTATTTCATCACAAAAAAAAACTTCATGAAACAAATTTCTCCTCACACTTCCCACACACCCCGCTTTCCTCACCTAATTTCTTAACTAACTCCCCACACTCCTCACATCTAACTCGTTCGGTCTCTGGCTCGAGGATGAAATAATTTTCGACGAAGTAAACGCAACCGTGCTAAATATATTTGATTCCTTTAATATATTTAATATTTAAGCCAATGAGGGGCTGAATATTTGATAATACTTTTGAAGCTGATGCAAGTTTTGCATTATTATTACCACCAGGGACATTTTCAGCTTCAATTTGAACAATAAAACGTTCCTTTCTTTTGACAACAGTCCAATCCTTATCTTCACTTTGATCTAAATTCATATCAGAATCAACATCATTATTACTACAATCTTACAGAGTTTTCATTTTCCATTGTATTAATTTTTAGGTAATTGTCCACCAAAGAATTGGCAGACATACAAGTATATACTTTAATTCAGAAAAAGTATTTATGAACCACAGAAACCTTCTAGACAGGGTATTTACTACAAAGAATTATGTGTTTTTATCATATTGTGCGTTTTTTTTTTGTTTTTTTTTATTTTATTTTTTTTTATTTTATTTTTTATTGTTATTATTTATTCAATTAAAAAAAAATTTAATTTAGTATTTTTAATAGTTGAGATAATTCGTTCCAATGGTTCACATTAGCTTCGACTAATATATCACGTGCCATTGCACCCGTGAACTCTAGTTCACAATAAATAATAATGAATCATAAATAGCGTAACTCAGAAAAATAATCCCTAATGCAGTTATTAACTATATATACAGTATATTGTTAATCATAATAATACATTATGACTATTATAGTCTATATATCTCTGATCTCTTATTTTTTTGGGGAGATGTATTCGGGGTATTGTTTGTAAATGCAAGATTGTCTTCTCGATACAAATAGTTACGTTTACGCCTCAATCTTGCATGTTTAACTTTAAGATCTGAGCAATATTCCGTAAGATTACTCAATCGGTGCTGTAAAATTAAATCGATAAGCATGATGATATGTATATTAGTAAGGAAGTAAATAAATAACAAACCTCTAAGGAACGCAACATCACATGAACTGACTCATATGCTGACAACTCTTGCATTGATGCAGGTAAAAACACTTTGTCAATTATTCCAAAACGATAGATTCCATATGCCCGTACATACATCACATAAAGGTTAATCTGTAATCCTGTGATATAAAGAAATATATATTTTGTTGACAATCTTTTAGAAATATCTATATGTTCATTCTGAAAAATAAAAAAAGATTACCTATAACTTGAGAACCAAATACAACAATTTTCATATAATCCTCCGGTAATAAGCCAGGGAATGATTTCATTATACTATTGATCATGTCACGCATTCCAACCATAATTTTTAATCTATCTGTCCATATTTTTTTTGGGCATCCTGCTGGAAGTCCTCCTGAAACTTCGCATATAAATCCTTCTAAGATTGGTCCTGTTGGCAAAGTAACAATTAAATCAGTTTTTGTCCAACACGTGCACAATCATCATTGTGATCTTGGTCAACTCTACGCCTTTCTTGACTTGCTACTAATTGTCGTTCACACCTGAAAATCCAAAAATAAAATGTTAAAATAAAATTAACAACACATAATCTGAACCTTTGAAAAAATACCAAAGTTTTCGAAACTTCTCCTGATTTTGGTCAATACTCATTCTAAAAGCAGGGGCAACAATGTGAATCATAAGCTCCCCTTCATTTATCGGCAATTTAATATTTCTAAGGTATTCTTTTAATATTGTCAAGTGAGTGTGCAATATTAGTACCTTTTGTTGTGCCTTTGAATCCTATTCAATGAAAAGTTTCTTATAATCAATGAAACGAAATAAAGGTAATGACTAAATAAATATAAAACAGTTACTGTTATTACCTCAATATTGTCAAAAAAGTCTATTTCGGATTGGTCAAGCTCTACCATTTTCCATGCTATATCTAGTTGGAAATTATTTAATAGTTCCTTCCATTTTGAGGTAAACTTTTTCTTTGTTGGCTTGTGCTGTCCAGTCAAATCAAGAACCCCCGAATACTGTGGACTTCAATGGAGAAAGATAATATTCATGAATTTTGTAAAAAAGTTCTTTGAAAAATCATGATATATACAAGAATCATACTTACTGGATTTCAGGATGCCTTTTCGGCAAGAAATCTCGTAGGGAATCAAAAAATTCCACAACATCAACATCATCAATTTTGAAGGAATCCCAACTACTAATTACTGAAATTGTAGTAGGCATTAAGCGTGCTGACATAGGTTCTTCTTCTCTTCCAATGTAGGATAGATCTACATTATCTACAAGACTGTCAAAATATTCGGGATCTTTCATATAACTATCTTGTAAAGGACTTGGTGAAGTCAACTCTTCATCAAGTTCATCATCTTGGCGTTGACGTTTGGACAAACGATCTTGATCTTCTTCTACATTTAATGGTCTAATAATTTTTTCATGCTCCCGCCTATTTCCTGTTTCTCGTAATTGATCAATAAGCTTTTGATTTTCTTGTAAATCTGTTGGTCTATTGTGAACGTTGGTTTCAAATTTTCATAACTCTTACCTTTAAAACCGTAACTGTGTAGGTGGATGTGACATTTAAACGTGCTTCCTCAAGAAATTCAAGATCCTTAATGAATCGCTTAACTTCAGTAGTTGAAAATTCCGAGTTAAAATTCGATAAAATCTTTAACCCCTTGTTTTTGGCGTTCATGCGGATGTTACATTTGTCTTTATATCTCTGTAATACTGCATATAAATCTTCTTTAAAATCATTGATTGTAGCCGATGATAGTTTGGGTTTCGGTTTTGATCGTGTAAATTCTAAACTTCCGAGAACCGTCCAATCTTTACTTTTTGTTTGATCAAGATATTCTGTCACGATGGATTCAAACATCTAAAAAAAAAAATTTAACGCGGTTATCAGTAGTTTGTCTGTTTTAACGTAAGAAACATGGCAACGTTCACAGTTAACTGTATACTGGAAAACAGCATGCCAAGATTCGGGCCTTAAACACGTATGCTTAAGGACAGCCCAGCAGACCACCTCCAAACATCTGAACGCAGGACGGTGTGGCCTAACGACAGTAGGTATAGTGAACGCATTCTGGAAAACAGCATGCCAAGATTCGGGCCTTAAACACGTGTGCTTAAGGACAGCCCAGGAGACTGCCTCCAAACATCTGAACGCAGGACGGTATGGCCTAACGACAGTAGGAATACGCGTAACTGTAAACTTTGCCAGAGAGTTTAAAGAGCTGCGAAGGTATATATAAAAGATTAACCCTTTTTTCAAGTTACACTCTAAAGATCCTGAGTTCCTGAGTTGCGGTAGTATACGTGTTCAGTGAAAATTAATCTGTAAATCAGAAAAAAAAATTTTTTTCACAGAAAAAGTATGTTGAGAAAACTCTACCTCGGTTACATGACAAGATGTTTTTAAGATAAGATTTCTTATTTTCTACCAATCATGGAGGTTCTGGGTTGGGATCGTGTAACCGAGGTAGAGTATATGGGGCATGGACAATAGAAAGGGGGCAAACGTCGAAATCACGATTTTCGATTTTGAATCGAAAAAAAAGATCTGCATTTCAAGTAATTACCTATTGTTTTTAAAAACTTTAACAGAAAATATCTCAAAATTTTATTAAGTAATGTGGGTATTGTTTCTAAGCTAAAATTAATCCTCGTAATGAATTACACATAAGAATGTCATTAACTCAAAATCATGATTTTTGATGTTTGGTCCCTTTCTATTGTCCATGCCCCATATATTCATTGGTTGATCGCACAAATAAATATGCATAATTTATATAGTCACACTGCATATACTAGTATTCAGGAATTTATAGGTCATACACAAATATGCTTTAAAAAATTACAATTCGAATGATTCATTTTATTATGATTTAATGTAATCAAGCGAAATAATATTTTGATAATAATAAGATTCAAGAATAATTAATATTGATTCCTTATGGTAGAGTTGCAAAGGAGAGAATGTACAGCACCTAGACCATTTAATGTATGCCCCTATACTATGGCTCTACCAGATGAAAACTATTTATTACTATTGTTATCTATTTCTTCATTGTAATCACCATTATAATTATCATTGTTATTATTGTTAAATACAGATTTATTTTTTTCTTTATATTTGAACTCAAGGTTTGATTGCTCCTACAACCCTGGCATCAGCTTTTGTTGTTTGGTTATAATAATTTTTAACAGCCTTGGTTCCGATAGCCTTTATTTTTGTCTCCTTTCTAATATCACTTACAACTTCAATAATCATATCAGCTTTGGGATAATCTTTTTCTCACATAGTCTCGTTGAAAAGCTTCTTGAATTTTTGCACAAGTTCATCTGAATTTTGTCTTGAAGCTGAAATGATACAAAAATATTTGTTTCACTATGAGCATCTCACTAAAGATAACAGATATTTATACATTGAAATAATCTTACCTCAAGAACTGCTTGAACTATTATTACTTGAAAGATTTGAAATTTTTTCAGAAAGTTTGTCTATTTTATTGTTAAATTCTTCAATTTTATTATTAAGCTCATCAATTTTGTTATCAATTTCTTCAAATTTATTATCAATTTTTTTAGATCCATTTTTTTGTTTCTCCTTCAATAAATCAAGATACATATCAATCCATTGTTTAAAGATGTAGAGAACAAAGCATATAACAGTAATGAATAGGTACATGAAAAACTTTTCCCCAATGATAAAAATTATGATAAGTATCAAGACAGAGATGATGAATAAATAATTCTCTAATGGCATTTCTGCTAAAGCTTTGAAAAATTCAATTGGTGTCATCTATGGGTAAAAATCAGTTAGTCCAATGGGCACTACAAGAATACTACATCTTTAAATATATAGTTGATACAAGAATCTTAACAAACCTTTGATTCAATAAATGTAAGAATGATGTTTAATATAATTTTATTTTTTAATGTGTTTTTAATTGATTAACTTATTAACTTTTTTTTTAACTGATTTACTACATTTTATTGATTAATTTATTAACATGTTTTTTGCTTAATTTGTGATGTTTAATTGATTTACTATGTTTTATTTATTAATGTAGTTTGATTGATTTAACAAATTTTTATTGTACTTATTTGAATGTTACAGTTATGAAGTTGAAAAATTATGCAAATTCAACTATTTTTATATGTATTTCAGAATCTCTCTGGTGTTGATTGTCAATTTGCTATGGGTACATGCTATTGAAGTTATCAAATGTGAGCATGACCTAGATTAACAAGTCGGGTTTTATCTGGAATTTGTTCTATTATATGAATGATTTAATCCAAAGTCAACTTAAAAATCATCAATGCAGTGAAATATTTAACTCGCCCTATTTTTTCCTTTCCTACCTTGCTAAAAAGATGAAAATTTTTTGGGCTCTCTCTATTCTCTTTTGATGATTGTTTCTAAAACATCAATAGGAAGTTGTTTTTTGATTTCTTTTCCAACATTGCTATTAGCATCATTCACATTATAATATTTTTCATAGTAGAACTTAAAGTATTTTATTTGGCTTCTGAATATCATGTTTGGCTGTAGTAATTTTACAATACAAATTGGGAAAATCAATAGATTCTGGATTGGCTTCAATGACTGTTATTGGGTAAGAAGTGGTATTATCTCCTGCAGGGGTTTGTTTGTCCAGAATCTGTCTTACCAGCGGATATGGGCTCACCAGCACAGGGTTGGCAAATGTGTAATCCATTGGTGATCCATTGGGTCCATTAATGTAACATTTTAACCATATTTAGTATTATATTAATGGCAATGGACCAGTCCAAGGTCCATCAGTTCTCTATGGGCCAGTTAATTTGCCAGCACATTTACACAGTGAAATTCGATTTAGCAGATAATTTCAGCCACTTAGTAAAAAATTTTCAAAAATCCGTTAAATCAAGATTTAATTAGTACATCCGTTATATCAAGAAATTTACTATATAAAAATGCAGCCCAGTTCTGAGCCTCAATCTGTTAAATCGAGATTTTTATTAGACATCCGCTAAATCGAAATCTGCTAAATCGAGTTTCACTGTGTATATGGTAAAGTACTTGCAGTCAATGTACCAATATGCAATGGATCATTCTCTAAAGAAGTGATGTTGATTACTTGATTATATAATCTACCTTGCAATCCATCTATGCTCATACTTCTTTTGGATAATGTTCACATTAGTGGTGACTTTTCTATGCTTTCAATCTCTGCAATGCAATTATTGACAGGGCATATGGTTATATTTTCTCTGATATTCCCAAGGTAAAGATGATGGAAGATATGTCAACAGGATAATACAATGAATGATTTTTAAGTGCAAAAAAATTTCTTACTTATTATTGTTGTTAAATAATAGCTCCTGATTTTTGTCATAAATACAGTATAACCCTTATTTCAACAGATTATAATTAAATTCACATTTCAATGGATTTTAAAATTCTTTGTTTACACATTATGAAACATATAAAAATCTGTTGAAACACAATTAGTAATTTTGTTTCAATGGAATTTTATTATTATTATATGTCCAGTCACTCTATTGAAACAATGGTTGTACTGTATAGAAATGACTTTTTTTTTTGCAGTTAGATCCTTTTCTATTGTCCATACTCACATGCCAAATTCAAAAATGAAGAAATAATTGACAAAGCAGAAGAAAGTCATGATGAAGTGGATGAAAGTCATGGATGATTATGAACAGAATCATTGTCTAAAAGAACAACTAGAGAAATTCAAAAATATTTATAATAAAAATGAAATAATAGATGACCAAATTATTAATTCTGAGGAGCAAATAGAAATAGATAATGATATCAACCATTGTATAACAAATTTACTAGAAAGATTTTCCTATCAAAAAGAATGCTTGAAAAGGAATTTAAATTTTAATGATGTTAAAACTAGATATAAATGCTCTCTTGGTTTAAAAAAACTTGAACAAGGTACTCTTTAAAGGGTGTAGTCTGAGAAATGAAAGAACTACTAAAGGAGAAAAAGGAGAAGATTGGCAAATGTTTATTTTTTGGGGAGATTGAAATTTGTAAGACTGTGTTCAAGGGTATCTATGGTATAGGTAAAAAAATGTTAGAAATCATTTTAATGATTTTGATATACAACTAAGAACACAGGAAGAGTAGGTAATAAAGCAATATCATTCAATGAAATTTTGCAAATGGTTAAGTTATATTAAATTATTCTAATACAGTATTTTATTAATTAATGTAAAATTTATTATATGAAGAAATTTTAAAAACGACACAAAACCTATTATACTATTATATTTAAACATTTATAGATTAATTTATAGTTTTTTTTATTTTCATTTTCTCTCACATATCTAGTTCCATTTCATTAACAATAATACTTAAAGGTGTTTCAGATGAATTTTCTAATGCAATTAGTCAAAAGATACAATGGTTTATAATCTAATCTATCATTTTTATCTGTTTGTCAGACTGGACAACAAATTATTGTTGACAGAATAAATGTCAACTGCATCAAATTTACCAATAACAATCCTTCCAATAAGTACTTCTTCTCAGACATTTTATAACCACCACACTTGGACCTTCTTGAACAACTCGCCAACTGAGTTTGATCTCACAAAAATGAGCATTTTCACAAACAAATGATTACATTGAATACAAATGTTCAATGAATGTAATATAATAATGTATTCATGTTTGTAAATGCGCAGTGTCTTTTTTAATATTTTAGGTCATACAAAAAATACTAACGAGCAATCTAGAAAGCATAATGAAATTCTTGTTTGGCAATACCTTAACCAGTTCCTTGTGTGCCTACTGTCAAGCAGCAAGGACATGGGTAGCTCAAGGCTAAATAGACTTCACTCTCCTTGATGTGGATCAAGTCCTATAGGCACATGTTGTATCAGCCATTGAAGCAAAACACTAATCTGAATGAGACAAGTAAATATTGTGCAGCTAGTAGATAGATTTGCTTTTTGAGAGAGTTTTGTGTTGAAGGCTGTTTGTAGGCTGTACAAGTAGAATTTTTATCAGGCTTAGTAAACCTTAGTAAGCTACAACAGAAACCCATTTTCATGTCTGGGATTGCTTTGGAAAATGTGAAGGTTTTTTTATCAAATTTTCAGAATATGGTCTTTTCTATTAAAAGACTCGTAATTTTGTTTTTTTGTTTTATGTTGTGAATTTGCACAATTACATGTTTGATAATTTTACACACATTTTATCTTATATTAATGTTTCGAGTTTTTGATATAATAAAATTTGATTGTTATAATAATTATGTGGATTACGAAATTGTTACACGTTTTCTTTGGCAAGTAAATATTTCAACCTTACATCATCTCCTAATAAGCAAATGTTATCATCCGTATGTTTATTGACAAATACATAATCCTTATACTATTACTATACTGATGAAATCTGATTAATACTATACTATATTAAAAATATATATGTATATTTTACATCATTACATAATATAATTTTTTTATAAAAAAAAAAATGATCCTTTTTAAATTAAAATGAAATTTTGGAAAAAGTAGTCATTTTAAAAGTATGAAAAACGTCAAAACCAACTCACTAACTGCCATAAACATCCTTATAATAATGACTATAAACATAATTATAATTATTTGAACAACATCCATGACCATCTTCTTCATAATCGAATTTTCACGCAAATAACCTCAAAAGTTCTTTGGCTCTTTTATCATCAAAATCAACAATGAAGTCATCATTATCATCTTCTTCAAAATCACGAGCATTTTTAAGATTGCGATCTGAATCATATTGTGTCAATAATCGATCTTCTTCAACTTGATCATTTAACACCAAAATATCATCACCATCATTATTGTCAACATTTCTAAAAACTACAGAACCGTTATTATTATTATCATATCCATTAACAACAAAAACACCATTACCACGTCTCTGTTCATTAACAACAACACCATTATTATCACGTTCATCAATATTCTGATAGCGATTATGAATGTTATTTTCAATGATAATTATAGGTCTTTCATTTGGTGATACAGAACAAGGTCGAGATCTAGGACGAGAATGGGGTGGTGAAAGTGATTTTGATGGAAGTTGAGGGTTGTTGACTGTTACTGGTGATGATTGGATTACTGGTGATGACATTTGTAGTAACAATGGTGAACGAAGTGAAAGAGGTGAAATTGACTTGGTTGAACATGGTGATCCTCTAACAGTTGATGGTGTTGTATTAGGCGATGATTTCGATTGTTCTTCTAATGAGGAAGAAGATATTTTTGTCGATTTCAATTGTGTTGATTTATTAGGTAGCGTAGTGGTAGATGAATGAAGTTTTACTTTTTTATTGTTATTATGATTATTGCTATTATTGCTACTATTACTATTAGTATGATTATTATTATTGCTATTGCTATTGTTTTTATTATTGTTATCGTTATTGTTACGATCATTATTATTATTATCATTATTATTAACAACCTCAATACGAGGATAACTTTCCTCCCTTTCATCATTTTCATCATTATCACAAAAATCTTTTTTGTTGTATTTTCTTTTCCTAGAATAAGGAGTCTCAATAGGAGATGGTGGTGATCTTGGTTGTTGTTTTCCTACGATTGAAGTGTTACCATCATCCTCATAATTTTCCTCGTAATTATCATCATCAACATAGTGATTTTCTTCTACTACTTCATAATTTTCATCATCATTATTATTATAATAAATGATTTCTTCTACTTCCTCCTCTTCGTTTTCATTATTATCATCATCTACTATTACCCCTCCTCTTCCTACATCTCTTGTTGTTTGTTGATGATCATCATTATAATCAGCATTTCTAAATCGTCTATAAGTAGGATAATAAAGTGGACTTCGACTAGGTAATTCATGATTATCATCACTTTGATCAGAATGTTGTGTAATTAATGGTGGTGATGGTACATCATCCAAGTCAATTATAACATTAACTTTAGGATTATTATAACCATCATTATCATGATCAACATTACTATCATGATCATGATCACTATCAGAATCATTATCACCATCATTATTCTCATCATTATGATCGTTTGCTCTATTATAAGTGATCTCTATAACATCACGATTTCTTTTAATAATAGTTTTACTTGAGCCCGATGATGTTTTAGTTCGAGTGATCATGAATGAAGATGAGGAGGGCAAGGAAGCTGGCGAAGCTGATGGTGATGATGTTAAAGATGCTGATGGTGACGATGTTAAAGATGATGTTAAAGATGATGCTAAAGATGCTGATGCTGATGATGACGGTGATGATGTTAAAGCTTCTAATGGTGAAGATGATAAAACTGCTGAAGATGGTAATTTACCAATCACATTCACATTTTTCTTTTTTGATAGTTCCCTTTGTGGTTTACTCGATGGTTTTTGTATTTTTTGTAGTCGCAAACTCCTTCTTAGATGTGGTGTTTCTTGTTCATCGTGTTCTTGATATTCTTGTTCTTGATATTCTTGTTGTTCTTCATATTCTTGTTGTTCTTCATATTCTTGTTCTTTATGTTGCTGACGTTTAGAACGATTTTTTTTTAAAATCGGTTGCTTTTGTTGTTGATGTGAAAGAGATTCCTGAGTCAATTTTTTTAGATTAGGTATTATTTTGGTGGCTGCTTTCTCTTTCCATGTTTCGGCCGTGTATACACGAACCTAAATATACATATAATAATTATATACAATTATTAATTTATAATATAGAAAGATTGAATTTCTACATATATATTTACGTACTTTCTCTATAGGTACTTTTTTATAATTAGTTGGAATCTGGAGTACTTCTCGTTCTACCGAATCAAGGACTATTTTATAAGACATTGTTTTATCCTCCTCTTCCTTACTATTAAATTTTTGTTTTTTCGACGTGTCTGCTAGTATCCAGTATGCACTCTCAGCGTTTGTCACTACTTCTCCACCATTTTCCTAGTTTATGATAGATTTAAATATTATTTACATAAGAATATGATCTCGTTGTGTTTTTTTACAACATACATATATACCTTAATCAATCTTTCAATATTACTTCTGTTAGGTACATCTTTTTTAATTAAAAAATGAATTTTAATACTGTTAATGACGAATAAGTTTTTATGTGCCATTTTTTGAGCTCTCTTTTTTTTTTTTTGAATCATAACATTTATTATTGTCACCTGATACTAACGTAAATTTTCAGGGGTCTATTTTTACACAAAAAAGTGCTATTACTATTACTATGTATATATTTCTCTATCAAACCATAAAAGTATAATTAATTTCTTATTAAGCTTGTTAATCATAATAATAAAAAAACAACTAGACTCTATGTTGCACGTAGATATTAATTATTATTATTATTATTATTCCCTCGCGCGTTTTTTCGTGTGTGAATTTAAAGTTCACGTGTAAAACTCAATAAGTCGGTCATTTATTTATATTATCAAGTAAGTACCAATAATTGATTGGTGCGTTCGACTTATCGACATTTGAAATTTAGTATAAGCCACGGAATTTTATGTCCCAAAATCTCTAATTATGAATTCACACAATTTGACTCACAACATACATACATACATACATTTCATCATAAAAAGTTTTACACACAAAAGTTTTGGTATAGCCGATGAAAAAAAAATAAAGTTATCATTGTTAAAAGCTTAAGTTTTGCCTTGATTGGGTTCAAAATGACATTTAATAAGAAGTCCATATAGAAACTAATCTATATTAAATGCTTTCAATTGGGAGGGGGTTTGGCTGTTTCAAATGAAAACATTTATTTTCTTCGAGAAGTGAAGTTTCTTTCATACACTAGGGAGCTTTTTAATTTAAGGTGTTAAAGAATTTTAGTATGATAATTTCTAATCATTAATTACTAAAATTACTAAGTCACATATTTAGATAGATAGGATAGGACTGTTTCAAATGAGAATATCTATTTTCTCCGAGAAGTGAAGTTTGTTACATGCACTCGTGAACCTTTTAATTTAAGTTGTTAAGGAAATTTAATTATTATTGTGAAGGAAATCAGTGGGTGAATGGCAAAAAAAAACCCCCAGAAAACAAATAAAATTCTTTGTTTCTCAAAAGATCTATCAAATTTCTTATTCCAATTACAATTATTAATCTGAATAATGAATTCACCATATAATTGTTCACCATAATTGTCCTTCTTAATAAATGATCATAAAATTAGTTTCCATTAGTTTCCATAATTAATAGTTGCCAAATTATCCCTGTAATTATTTGAACTCTTTAAGTCAAATGAAAAACCATTATGGCAAAACAACTGTAATTTTTTCTTAAAAGATACAAAGATTATTAGTATGACAGAATAATAATGTAGGTGATGAAGTTGGAATTGCTAATTTGAATTTTGTAATTACCTAATATAATAAAACAATGGGTTCTTTATCCACCTATCACTTAAAAATAGATAATTAATAATCAGTTTATTGCTTATAATAAAATAGTAGGATATTTAATTTAAAATTTTGATTCTTTATAATCTACTAAATGATAAATAAACAATCCTTTATCCATTTGTTTTATCAATGTGTATTGTGACATGACCAATGATTAAATTAATGTAATAATAATGCAAAATTTTGTTACATCATAATCATGGAGCCAACAATGACCTGGCATGAGCACTTGCAGACCCTAATGTTTAGGAATCCAGAACACTTGGATAGATTAACTAATTAAGATGGGTAAGGTACCTTTAGCATATACTACTCTTGCTTCCATAATTAATTTGCATATATATCACTGTCTATTAACAGTAGGATACGAACGCGTGATATGACTCTATGGTTTGCTCGGTCTAAATACCTCATATTGCTGCGCCATGTGGCCAAATTTCAAAAGCATTTTTCAAAAATCATGACTTCACGTGATTTTAATTTTAAAATTCTTACAGCCAAATTTAGTAATGATCTAGTGCCAAATTCCTCGCGAACATAGTAAATACATGTATATACTAAAAAAGAAACAAATGATTTTTATTATTATATAAAATTAAAGCCCTATTCTATCAACTAATAATGTTATTTTTTTAAAGGTAGGACAGAAAGTGACTTATACTTTTAAAATTTACGCAAAATTAGGAGGTCTTTAGACCGAGTGAACTCTGGTCATGTGATATATCATACAGGTTGTTCATGTGAAAGTTTTTTGAAGAAAATCAGTCCAAATCTGGATAGATTATTTTTTTAAAAAAATCACTCAAAAAAAATAAATACATAGAAATATGTTTCTGTATAATTTGACTTTACAACCTTCTACTGCAATTAATGTTGCAGTAGTCGGACATTTTTCGGGAACCAAACAACAAGAAATAGTTATTTCTAGAATAACAAGATTAGAGCTTATTAGAGCTGACCAGAACTCTGGTAAATTACAAACACTTTTGGCTTATGACATTTTTGGGATGATAAGATCATTGACACCTTTCAGGCTAACTGGTGGCTCCAAAGGTACTTATGATGACATATATATATATATATCAAAAAAAATTGAAAGAAAATATTAATAAATTATTGTTTTTTATTGTTTGATAGATTATATTATAGTTGGATCAGATTCAGGTCGTGTAGTAATTTTAGAATATAATCCATCTAAAAATAGATTTGATAAAGTTCATCAAGAAACTTTTGGAAAATCGGGATGTAGAAGAATTGTACCTGGGCAATATTTAGCAGTTGATCCCAAAGGAAGATCTGTTATGATTGGTATATTAATATATATATTTATCAAATTTTGTATTTTTAGAATGTTATATAATTAATTAAATGATGGAAAATTATAGGTGCAATTGAAAAACAAAAACTAGTTTATATTCTGAATCGTGATTCCGCAGCCAATCTTACTATATCTTCACCGCTGGAAGCACACAAATCACATACACTTGTACATAATTGCATAGGGCTTGACGTTGGTTATGAAAATCCAGTTTTTGCATGTCTGGAAGTTGATTATTCAGAAGCAGATCTTGATCCATCTGGTGAAGCTTTCAACAATACTGAAAAGGTTTGCATAAAAAGTTTCAATATGTATGATTTAAAAAGCAAACTGACTTTTTCATTATATTTATTATTTGGTTTGTTTATCTTAAATTTTAGATGCTTACATATTATGAATTGGATCTTGGTTTGAATCATGTAGTAAGAAAGTGGAATGATCCTGTTGATCCTAGAGCCAATTTACTCTTTCCTGGCAAATATCTTTAATTATATAAATTCCAATATTCAGTCATAATTTTTGATTGATATTACTTACTTATATATATATATATATAGAATAATGAACAACTTCAAAATCAATATATATATATATAATATTAAATAAAACCATTTAAGCAAAACAATAATAATAATCACTAATTTTTTTGCGTTTGATTGTGTCTGTGTTTTAGTCCCAGGCGGGAATGATGGTCCATCAGGAGTGCTGGTATGTTCTGAAAATTTTATCACCTATAAACATCAACGTGCTCAAGAGCTTCGTATACCAATACCACGTCGTAAAAACCCTTTAGAAGATCCTTCGCGTGGACTAATCATAGTGGCAGGTGTTATGCATAAAATGAAAGGTGTCTTTTTCTTTTTGTTACAAAGTGAAGAAGGTGATATATATAAAGTGACTCTTGATTGCGAGGACGATAAGGTAAAAGCTATTAAAATAAAATATTTTGATACTGTACCTGTTGCGGTATCATTATGTATACTTAGAGCTGGTTTTTTGTTTGTAGCTACTGAATTTGGAAATCCGTAAGTTTAAACATTTTATTTATTTTTTTGAAAAGTCCGAAAATTTTTGAAAAACATTAAAACTTTTTTTTTTGAATAGTCGGCTATACTCTTTTACAAGTCTTGGTGATGATAATGATGAACCAGAATGGTCTAGTAAAGATTTTATGGATACTGATACTGAAGCACCAGTAGCATATTTTAATCTTAGAGAATTACAAAATTTAGAAAGGGCTGATGAATTAGAAAGTTTAAATCCATTAATTGATGCTAAAGTAATAAATTTTTTTTTTTTAATAAAAATTAAAGTTAAAAACTATGATAATTAATAATTGTTGTTATTTAGGTTCTAAATCTTATGGATGACGATACTCCTCAAATATATTCTTTGTGCGGCAGGGGAGCAGGATCAACTTTTAGAATCTTGAGAAATGGCTTAGAAGTATCTGAAATGGCTGTTTCAGAATTACCAGGAAATCCTAATGCTGTATGGACCACCAAACTTAGAGCAGAAGGTTTGCCTATAATTATTTATTGGATGATTGTTGGTGTTGGTTATATTAATGTGTTTTTAAATACCTTTGTTCTATTTATTGTTATAGATGAATTTGATGCTTATATAATAGTTTCATTTGTGAATGCTACATTGGTATTATCTATTGGCGAGACTGTGGAAGAAGTTACAGATACAGGATTTCTTGCATCAACACCTACTTTAGATGTCCATCAACTTGGTAATGATGCATTACTTCAGGTATACATCTATTTATTTTATGAATAATTTTTTGCTTATACAACCAAATTAATCTATTCATATTGAATTCACGCTTCTTATATAAGATATATCCTCAAGGAATAAGACATATTAGAGTTGATCGTCGTGTTAATGAATGGAAAACTCCTGGTAATAAAACAATCGTCAAAGCAGCTACCAATAAACGACAAGTCGTTATAGCTTTGACTGGTGGTGAATTGGTTTATTTTGAATTGGATAGTCAAGGACAACTGAATGAATATCAGGAACGTAAGGAAATGTCGGCAAATGTGTTATGTTTAAGTATTGGTGAGGTTCCTGAAGGAAGACAACGTTCAAGATTTTTGGTATGATGTACAATTTATTTTATTTCAAGGTGTTTATTTTTGAATTAATTAATTTATTGTTGTTTTTGATCAAAAATTAAAGGCTGTAGGTTGTGATGACAATGCTGTAAGAATTCTTTCACTCGATCCAGACAATACTTTAGAAATACTTAGCACACAAGTATGTTTATATATAATATATAATAATAATATTTGTTAATATATAAGTTTTCATTTTAATCATGGCCTATATTTTATTTTTTATAGGCTATTAGTGCCCTACCACAATCATTAGTCATTATCGAAATGATGGACATTGGAACGGACGCTTCTCATGGAACTCTATATTTAAATATAGGTTTACAAAATGGTGTTTTGTTAAGAACAGTTTTGGATACTATAACTGGAGCTTTAACGGATACAAGACAAAGGTATAAGATTAAATTTATTTACACACATACATATAAATTCATGATATTAAATAAATATTGATATTTATAAAATTATATTGTTACAATATAGATTTCTCGGAGCACGTCCTGTCAAATTGTTTCAAGTTACAATACAGGGAGCTCCAGCTGTACTTGCTTTATCAAGTCGACCTTGGTTAAGCTATACTTTTCAATCTAGACTACATCTAACACCGCTTTCTTATGACATGCTTGAATACGGTTCAAATTTTACTTCACCGCAAGTACCTGAAGGTATAGTTGCTATATCAGCCAACACATTAAGGATATTTGCTGTAGAGAAATTGGGCACTGTGTTCAATCAAGTAGCTATACCGCTCAAATACACGCCACGTCATTTTGTTCTTCATCAAAATTCAAGAAACTTTGTAATAATTGAAAGCGAGCACAATACTTACTCGCCTACCGAAAGAAAAAAGTTAATAGAATCAAAAATCAATGCTGGTACAGAAGTAAACGAAAGTATCTTTGATTTGCCACAAGAAATTTTAGGATTACCTAAAGCTGAAGCTGGTAAATGGGCGTCTTGTATTCGTGTTGTGAATCCATTTCAGAGCGAAACTATGTCAGTGATTGAACTTGAAGATAACGAGGCAGCTTTTAGGTGTGTATTTTAATATTGCGTACAAATGTATATATATATATATTACATTTCTTTATTACATAAAATTAAGTGTTTGACATTTAAAAAATTTACCAATGTCATTTAACATCATTTAGTGTTGCAACAGTAAATTTCCATGGTCATAACGAGGTATTCCTTGTGGTCGGTGCTGCCAAAGATGCAAATTTAGCACCAAGAACTTGTTCTTCTGGTTTTCTTTATGTTTATCAATTTGTAGATAATGGAAACTCGTTAAAATTAATTCACAAAGTAAACTTTAAACATTTATGGAAAAAAGTTTTTTAATTCAAATTTCCAAAGGAAACCATTATGCTTAATTAATTAACTAAATTTTTTTTTATAGACAATATGTGATGATATTCCTTTAGCATTATTAGGATTTCAAGGAAGACTTTTAGCTGGTGTTGGGAAAGCACTTAGAATTTATGATTTAGGTAAAAGGAAACTCTTACGAAAATGTGAATCAAAGGTAACAATTATCATTATTATAGTATATCTCGTTTTGATTCTTTGCGGGATGATAATAATCAAGTATTCTGTTTATTAATAAATTTTTTTTGGGGGAAATCAGGCAATTTCAAATTGTATTGTTAATTTGCATACGCAGGGCAATAGAATTATTATTTGTGATGTTCAAGAATCAATTCATTATGCATCATATAGACAACACGATAATCGAATTATTATTTTTGCTGATGACACTACACCACGTTGGATCACTACCACAACAATGTTAGATTACGATACAATTGCTGGTGGTGATAAATTCGGAAATTTCTTTATTGATAGATTACCAGCCGAGACTAGTGAAGAGGTGGATGAAGATCCTACTGGTAATAAGATTATGTATGAAAAAGGATATCTTATGGGTGCGCCTCATAAAGTAATTATCATCATCACGAAACTTTTTTAATTTATTATAATTGTAATTATTAAAAAAGATATTTATTAATTAATTGATTCAAATATTATTTATATTGTTATTCTTTTCTTGAAAGGTTACTATGATAGCTCATTATCATGTTGGCGATATTATCACATCTATTCATAGAACCAATTTGGTAGCAGGTGGTCGTGAAGTCCTTGTATACACAGGTATAATGGGTAATGTGGGAGTATTTGTTCCATTTCTAACACGAGAAGATATTGATTTCTTCCAAACTCTTGAGATGCATATGAGAAATGAGGCGCCACCATTAGCAGGACGTGATCATCTTCAATATCGAAGTTTCTATGCTCCTGTTAAAAATATCGTTGATGGTGATTTGTGTGAACAATTTAATTTATTGCCAATGGAGAAAAAAAGATTTCTAGCTGATGAATTGGATCGTACACCTGCAGAAATTCAAAAAAAGATTGAAGATATGAGAGTGATGGCTGCTTTTTAAATAAAGTATAAAAACAATCTGTTTATTTAATTTTTTATATTAATAGATCACCATAATTTTTTATGATTAATAAAATACTTTGGAAGATATAAAGTTATTAATTAATAATGGTTGATAATCAATAAATTATCGTAAATTAATTTAATAAAATTTTCAATTAAAGTTTTTTTTAACTTGCACCCCACCATATTTGTTATGTGATTCATCAAAGAAATAAAAAAGGCAGAATATTGTTCCGATTTAATCAAAATTTTCTTTTTAAAAAATTTTTTTTTAAAAATGTTGAAATATATTATTTTGATTTTACATATTATTATAATAGTACTCATTTCAAATCTTGTTAATGAAATGATTTCTGAACCATACATGGTGAATATTTTCTAATTGAACGAGTAACATTAATAATAGTAGTAATATGGTTGATTTATTTAGTTATTTATCTATTAGGATGAAATTTATCATATACCACAAGCTCAAGAATATTGTAAAGGAAAGTATGATAAATGGGATTCAAGTATAACGACACCACCAGGATTGTGAGTTAAAAAAAAGAGTTCGATTTTATTATTTATTATATACGATTGTGATTTAATTTTCTTATTTTTTTATTTTCGTGATTTTTTTCTAAAGATATATCTATAGCAATTTGATTTTATTACCAATGAGATTTATCAATGACAATCTAAACTTTTATTGTTCTACTAAATTATTAAGAATGACCAATTTGATATTTAGCATTGGAACTTTTATAATAATTAATCAAATATTAAGCATCAAAAACAATGACCGCAATAATAGCAGTAGATTATTGTTAGTATTAAACACTTTTATACTGACAACATTTCCAATTAATTATTTTCATAATTTTTTATATTACACTGAGGCTGGATCAGTATTTTTTATATTATTTGGCTATCTGTTAGCAACTAAAAAGAAGTATTGGCTCAGTTCAATGGTAAATAAATAAATAAATAAATAATAATTTTCAAGTTTTTTTAAATTGTTGTTTACTAAATATATATATATATATATACATACATATATAATTTATGTTAATAATGATAGAGTTGTTTTATTAGTATTTTATTTAGACAAACAAACATTATTTGGACATGTTTTATTCTAGGAACCTCTATATTAAAATATTTATCAACTAGAAGTAGTAATAATAGAAACAATAGGAATCAGAAATTATTTTCATTGGGGAAAGATATAACTCTGGGTATAATAAATAAATATTTAAAAAAATATGAATTTGCATTATCCAATTTTTGTACTTACACTCATCATGCCCTTTTTATTTTATTTATTTATATAGGCCAAGCAATAACAGAAATAATAACATTTGCTAGTTTGATTGTATTGAATCTATTAAATATTTTAATAATATTTTTTCCTTATTTTTTAATTTTAATTGGGTTTGGATTATTTTTGAGATTTAATGGTGGGATCGTGTTAGGTATGTGATTGTGATTGTACATATATATGATTATTTGATTATTATGATTTCTAAATCGATCAATCATTCGTTCGTTATAACAACACTAATCTCATCTTACATCTCAGGAGATAAAGCTAATCATGTTCCAGTTTTTCATTTTCCTCAAATATTTTATTTTATATCGTTTACAACATTTCTATCGTCACCAGCAATTTTTAAATTTAGACACATTAAAATCGTCTTTAGTAAAAAAATTATTTGGTAAATATTAGTTAGTTTACTATTTTTATAGTCACATTTTTATTTACATGATATAATGAATCTATATTTATTATATATATATGTTTAGGATTACCATCAAGTTTATTCCAATAATGCTTTTAATTGCTTATCTAATTAGCGAATTTACGTAAGTCATTATAATATTATGTATGGTGTTTAAATTTTTTCCTGAAATTTACTTTAATACATGATTATTTCCACGCACACGCGCCACACAAACAATAGGTATGAACATCCATTTTTACTAAGTGACAATCGTCATTATACATTTTACATATGGAAGAATATTTATCGTCAACATGCATTAATCAAATACCTATTAATCCCAATTTATTTAATTAACGGATGGATCTTATGGGAAGAATTAGCAAAACGGCAAACTTTTATATGGATTCTGATTTATTCAACGGCAGTTTGTTTATTGTTAATTCCTTCCCCGTTACTAGAATTTAGATATTTTATAGTTCCTTATTTGATTTATAGAATTAATGTGATGAACATGAATCAACCGTTATTACTTTATAGATTAGCATTAGAATTATTGTTATATGCTATTATTAATATAGTAACCTTAAATAATTTTATATTTAAACCTTTTATTTGGAAGCATGATCCACGAAATTTGCAAAGATTTATGTGGTAATAGCTAAAATTAGTGGCTGGCTAGCTAGCTAGCTAACAGCTACTAGGGTAGATACTGTAGGTAGTAAACGTGGGCAGTACTAGATAGGAATCCAAATTTACTTTTATTCATTAATCTATCCGATCATGGTTTAAAATCACATTTTCGATCTTTAAAAAAGAAAATATCTTAAAAAAATATGTTTTTGAATTGTGTAATACTCTAGATATAAACTATTTTTTCTTTGTGTCAATTGTATATGTTGTGAAAATGATCCAATCATTGGGATCATTTTCATTTATTACTAGGTTTTGATAAACGGTTTTTTTAGATTATGTACTTGTAAAAGCCATATAATTATAATCTCTTATAAACCCGTTATCATTAAACAAATATGCAGCAATAATAAATATTTGTTTTAAAAATTCAGAGTTCTATTTCGAGAATGAATAAGGGAAAAAAATAAAAATGTTTTTTATAATGGAAAAATTACTAATCATATTATTGGTCATGTAAACATCATTTGTTGAATATTAAATTTTTTTTTCCGAAAAAAAAATTTACTTCTTTCATCAAATGATCTCAAATAAAGATAAAAATGGAAAGTATTAAATAATTATCGAATAAAAAAATAATAAATAAAAAACCAAAGGGAAATAGATAGATATTAATATGGTGTATTACTTATTTATTGATATGTACTTTGTAGCTCTTTACCTTTTTTTAATGTATTTTTTTTAATCTTTTTATATTTAATTTACATCATTATAACGTAAACAATAATTGACAAATCACACTTTAGTTTGTTTGTTTATAAACATTTAATATATAAAGAAGATGGCTACTCCAATTTTTAAAAAAAAACAAATTTTCAAATTTAAAAATAATAAAAAAAATTAAATTTAAAAAATAAAAAATGTCGACGGAATTATTAACAACTAGTCCACTATTTTCTTCACAAAAACCTCATCATCAAAAAAAAGTTAAATTCACAAATTCAAATAATTCGGATCAATTTCCCAACTTTTCGTCGTCGCCGTCGTCGCCGCCTTCAATACCATCAGGACATTTAGAAAATTCCACAAAGTTTTGGCAATTTAAAGTAGAAGAAGAAATGATTACTTATGTTAGATATGGCAGTATAGATTATGATGGTAGTTTAAAAGAAAGGGCACTTCATGTTCAACAACATTCATGTTACCTTGATGCAAAAAAATTCATTGAAAATTTAATAAATGAAAAAACTAAAGCTGGTTACATTGGTTGGATTAATTGGTAATAATTTTAGAATTTTATTTTTTTCTAGTAATAATAAACCTTTTATAATATGTATATGTAAATATAATAATAATATTAAATCATTATATAAATTATAATAATATAAAATGATAAATGTAAAATAATAATTTTTATTCAAGCCAAGAAATAATTGACTTTTTTATTTTAAAAAAATTTATTCTTAAAAAAGTTATTATAAAACATTTTAATAAATGTTACCAAATTGCATGGAGCGGTGGCCTAATGGATAAGGCATCAGACTTCGGATCTGGGGATTGTGGGTTCGACTCCCACCCGCTTCGTAATTTTATTATAATAACAATTAATTAATATAGACAATTCATTTATTTATTCTTGAAATAAATACCTGTAATTTTTTTTGCTTGCTTTCCTGGTTAAAAAAAGAAAATTAAATATAGTGATCAATAATAATTTTACACTAGTTAATCACAATAAAATTTAGTAATAACATGGGTAGCACAAATCAAAATATGAACTTTATTTTTTTTTTTTTCACATGGTTAACAATAACAACTATGATTCAATAGTACAAACGTGAACTATATAATAATAAATAATAATTCAAGTTAGGTATGGTCGCTTGTGATATAGAGTTATTTATTATTATAGGAAAACTTTATTTACGTGTGACCAAATAAACTTTTTAAACAAATTTGCTGACCCATTTTGAAATTTTTTTTAGTCTTTAATTTTTTATTAATAGGGAGATTATTCCGTACCCGTAAAGAATCCCTAACAAAATATTTTATTAATACTAAGGATTCTTATCATCCGTGACCGCATTATTGTGTGTTTTTTGCGGAAAAATACATACTAATACTAATAGGAACTTTTAACATAAATTACAGAATTATTCCTATTGAAATGAACCATATTAAAATTAATATGCAATTATACAAATTTATATAATAAAACAGTAGTATTTTGATATTGATGTTAATTTTTTTTCTTGATGGTCGCGTGTGGTCAGCGCACAACCATGCGCTAGGATCGCACATGATTTTGAGTTTGAATTTTAGCGACCATCAAATTGGTATTATTAATGGGTAATGGTAATAATGTTATATACTAATATTAATAATTCTTATTGTATGCAACATTGTATTATTCTATAGTATTATTGTTGTCACATTGACAAATTAATATGCGGTCAGCGATTTTAGGTATAAGCTTGTGCGTAAAATAAAATTTGCAGCAGCCGTATCTGTTTGCGTCAGTCGTATCTATTTATGGCAACCGTATCTATTTACAGAAAGCCGTATCTATTTACTGCAGCCGTAAATAACCAATTACGGCAGGTGTCTTTATATGTGATAAAATTTTGACATCGAGAGGAATATTTCACTAATAAATGAT